AAAATTGGGGGGGGGGGGGGGAATGGAAGAGTCCTTGAGGTGTAATTTTGGAGTTTTGAAGGATATTTTGTTGTTGGATTTGAGTAAATTTGGTATGGTTAGACTCGTGAGTGAATGAGCTTTCGGGTTTTGTGACTTTGGTCGGATTCCGAGACGTGGGCCCGGGGGCCAGGTTTGAACTAATTTCGGGTTTTGAGTCTAATTTGGTAGTTTTTCTTGTGGAATTGATCCCTTTAGCCTATGTTGATCGTATTGTATTGCTTGTGGCTAGATTCGGGATATTTGGAGGCCGATTTGAGAGGCAAAGGCATCGCGGAGTAGGATTTTGGCTTGGTCTGAGGTTAGTAACGCTTCTAAACTTGGTTCTGATCGAAACCCCGAACTATGTGTTATGTGATTAGTATTGAGGTGATGTACATGCCAAGTGACGGGCGTGCACCGTGAGAATGGTGACTTGGGTGATTCCATGGCACCGATTAGTGACTATATCCTGTTATTATCCATGTTTTCTCCATGTGATAAAGTAGTTGAGCTGTGAACCATACTAGAAACATATTTAGGCTTTGTGCCGGTATTGTTTGGACCCTTAGCGGTCGTTTCTTGATGTCATCTCACTAGTTTCATTTAATATTCCACACTCAGTCATAATCATGCATTTTTGTATCATATCTCAGTCTCAGTTATTTATTGATTCATCATATCATTGTTCCGGTTTGTTTTCATGACATTGTGAGCCAATGGTGAGACTGGAGATGTTGATGATTGAGTGAGGCCGAGAGCCTAGTAATGAGTGAAAGTTATGGGATCGGACTGCACGCCGCAGCGGTTATATTGATAATTATGATAGAGTTTGGGCTGCAAGAGCCCCTCCGGAGTCTGTAACACACCCCTAGTGAGGGAGGATGATATTATTGAGTGATGGATTTCCCTAGACATGGATTTGTCCGAAGTACTTGATACCTGGAGATAGATTTCTCCACAGGGTTAGATTTCCCTTTATCCTTGGTACTGGGTGACTTTTAGTCAGTGTTGTATATGTTCCAGGATGGATTTCTCTGGGCCGGATGACCATATACAGTTGCGAATGGTTGAGCACTCGAGAGTGGAAGTACACGGTGCATTTCATACATTCTGTGCATTGACATGTAGAGATTAGCTGAGCTATATACCTTACACTGTTCAAATTTGCATTTATTTTACTGCTTTGAGCTGTATATTTGACTTGAAAGCATGTCTACGTTTCTACACCTTTACTTCTGTTTTTACCTGTTGAGGTTACGTTCATCACTACCTTTTAGTCCGAAGTTTGGACTTGTTACTTACTAAGTTGGTGTACTCACGTTACTCCGTGCACCCCGTGTGCAGATCCAGGCGATATCGATCGTAGCGGCGGTTGCTGATCGAGGTCCCAGAGTTTGGAGGTTGTTGAGGTAGGTACATGGCGTTCGCGGGCCTTGACCTTCCTTTTTTATCTCTGTCGTACTTTCAGTTTATATCTTCAGATACTGTAGTAGATTGTATTTACTGATCTAGACGCTCATGTACTCAGTGACACCCTAGTTTTGGATTGCATTGTGTCATTCAGAATTTTCTTATGTTTCAAACAGTTTTCTTTTATGTTAAATGCTTCCGTTAATGTTTTCAAACCTATTACTGTTGTGTTGAGTTTTGTTGAGTTGAGGCTAGCTTAGTTCCACGATAGGCACCATCACGACGATTGAGTTTGGGTCGTGACAGTAAACAACTTCCTTTTTGGAAGAAAAAAGAAAGAAAGAGGATCTTCCTTAATTAACGTGTCTTGTGTTCAGTAACTAATGTAGTAATTATGAAGGTAAAAAGGAGGACCTCGATATTGAAATCTAATTTTTGGATAAGGAATCATATGCAAATTATATATTGTAGAGTCAACATAAATGGACTATCTACATCATATTTACATCATTCTCCACCATATGTAAAGATAGGTTGGTTTGCTTTGCTTCTAAACTTCAAAAGCCACATGTTTTCTGAGGGTGCCATCATTGAATCACCTGCTAAGAAGTAGCAAGTACATGGGCCAAGACGATAAAGTTTTGTCACACTGAATCTCAGTGCACATTCTCTTCTATTCTTTTGTCTCAGCCTTTCTCTGCTATGTCCATTTCCCCTCAATCTGCCATATGAATTGATGCAAAGTGCGAATATATATACGTTGGAGAAAGTGTAGCCTTGAGAAAGAACTAAACCTAGCTATTCAAGAACGTAACTTTCCCATTTTTTTCTCTTTGATATCTGAATAGTTGTATACAAGTTCGCCGCCATGGATTCTAGGAATCTTTATCATCATTATCAACTCCAACAACAGCAGTTTGCTGGCTATCCTTTATTACCTGGAGTTCCTGCTTTACACGATTGGAATCCAAGCTTGACCTCGTAAGTTCTTCTAGTAGTACAATTCCTTTTCAAAAGTGGTATGCAGCTAGCTAGTTGATCGTTTCTCTAGTTTTACCAGTTTAAAACTGCATCTAATTCAAAAGAATTTGTTTTTGGTTTAAGAATTAATGCATCACAACGTATGATTTAGTGTCAAAATAATATCACCTTCTAAGCATTTTGTTCCTCAATTTTTTCTTATGGACAAGAAGTAGAAATTTAAACACAGATACTTGCTAGTCTTCTAAGTATTTTCTTTCCATATTCACAACTCAGCTTCATCTAACAACAACAACAATAACAAGAAACCCAGTATTATCCCATAAGTGGAGGGTAGTGTGTATGCAGCGTTACCCCTACCTGAGCTTGTGAAGGTAGAGAGATTTCCGATAGACCATCTGCTTAAGATTTCTTATTTGCTTTGAGCTCCGGTGCAAAGTATCATTAATTTAATTAAGAATCAAAGATTTTATTTTGTTCTCGCTTTTAATAAATATGAACTTTTTAATTAAAATCTGAGAAACGTGAACTTTAGGGTTTATGTGAGTTGATCTATTGCGTCTGTGATAATACAGGGAAGAAGAATATTACTACAAGGGAGACATGAAAAGGATCCAAAATAACATCTCATCAGAAGAGCAGTGGAAAAGAAGTAGTATTGATACATTTCCATTTATGAACGCCTCAATGTTCCAAGATGGCCATCAATCATCCAACGAGCAGCTGGATTACAAAAATAGCAAGGCATATATATCCAACGATTATTTCTTCAAGATGAAAGATATGAATGGTTTGAGTAACAGCTTGTTCAAAGAAAGTTACTTCAAACAAGAGCAACAGCATGTTTTTGATCTGAATGAGAATCTTCTATCCGAAGATCATTCGTATATGAACAATGCTAAAACCTGCATTGGATTTTCCCGTTTAGCTGCTGCTGCAACTCCAAATTATATCTCAAATCATATGGAACATTATGATTTCCAGGGCTTGAAGAAGTTAGCATTTAATGGCCTAAATTTCAAGAATAGTAGTATTGGTGATCATAGTACTAGCTTTGGCCATTTCTGCACAGACAGGATGTCTTCTGGCCTTGCTGGACTGCAAGAATTAACTCATAATCCATCAAATAGCTCCAACAAAGTAGGGATTTTCTTGATTTATTAGAGTATTATTTTCATCTTACGGGTTATAATCTATGTTGCTTGGACTCTCTGAAAATGTTATCAGTGGTTACGGTAACATTTTGGAGAGTTTGCGCAACATAGGTTTTAGCCACCCTCATTTTCTTCCTTCAATTGATATCTGCTAACGGCTTAAAATTGTTAACAGAACCCAGTTGTTAGCAATAATATTGGAGTTTCTACAAAAGCAAAGAGATTGAATTGTTCAGCTGAAACTCCAGCTCAAGAAGTATCGAAGAAGCCTCGAATCACATCACAATCTTCCACTCCAATGCTTAAGGTGAAAAGGGAAGAAGAAAAATAAATTGAAGTATATATAATGTTCCCACATGTCAATCAAAAATTTATTATCAAGGTAATATAGACAATTTGAAATAAGCTGTATTGAAGCAGGTACGGAAGGAAAAACTAGGAGACAGGATTTCAGCTCTTCACAGATTAGTGGCACCTTTCGGCAAGGTATATACTCTATACATTTATACCATCAGAACCCACTAAAAACGAGTAACTGACAGAAGGAGAGTACTTGTACTATTTTATTGTTTGTACCATGCTAAATACTTGTTCTTTTCTCCCACAATGGAATATGCAGACTGATACAGCCTCAGTATTAACAGAAGCTATAGGCTATATTCAGTTCCTTCAGGACCAGATCCTGGTAATAAAGCTAGCACGCATTCTGCTTAATTTATCCTCTTCAATTCATTTAAACTCCTTTTCCTAGAAAAAGATTCATATCAAAATCGCTACTACTAATTAAGAGATTGATATTTACATTGCATTACTTTTAGCCTTTTAAATATTACCCTTTTTAATTTGTTAATGTTACACAGACATTAAGCATGCCGTATACGAAGTCATCTCAAGGGAAGCTCCATCAGATAAACTTAAAGGTAACTGCGCGAAACCAACAAGCTTTTCTACTACGTGTTGCTAGGCTAGATGGGTCTCTTTACATTTGCATGAATTTTAAGGTGTCTGTATATATTCTCCTATCTATTGCTTGAGTTAATTATTTCGTAAAGATTTTAAGTTACATAACAACACTGTAAATATACTTTTACTCGACTAGTGGTGTTTAATATATAATCTATTAATTATAACAAATTAGTTAGATATATTACCATTTTTATCAACTATCCTATCAATGTTTAATTATTATACCTATAATTACTTTACAAGTGATCTTATTGCATGTGCAAATAAATTTTATTGGTCTGTACGTAGAACTTCTATAGCAAATATGGAATTAAGGAAATTAAATACTTGGTTGAAAGCACCTGTTTTTTGGTGTTTGGTGTGGCAGGATTCGAGCATAGACATGAAAGGACAAACAGTGCTAGATCTTAAGAGTAGAGGGCTATGTCTTGTGCCAATGTCTTTTTCTTCTTACATCACTTATTCGTGCGACTGAAACATCGGACAAGTACTCCATTGACTTCAATAATGCATGGAAGCATATGGTAGGATTGTACAGTTACTGTAACTTTTCATGCCCAAATCATGAAGATAATGTTTATTGTGACATAGTTTGCAATCAATAATCGCTTAAAGATTTATTGCGTTTTTTCCTCATGGGCATCGCCAGATTCTTGAATTAATTCCCATTGGAATTTGGAGGATGTACGTAATAATCACTCCATTCAACTTCATATTTAGAGTCAAATGTAACAGTCTTCTTAGCCCAACTTTTGAAGATGTCTTCTGAAAATTAACTTAATGTTTTTAATTTAATTTATTTTAATCTCTAGAGATCTACTTTTAATATATAAGAAAGAAATATAAATGGATGTTAATTCAACTCAAAATTGATCTAATTGGTCTGTAAACCAAAGAAACTTTGAATTGGACTGAAACTGTATGATAACTAGAATGTTTAATATCCAGATGTTAACTGCATGTCCATAGTTGACCAATGATACAGGATAACGAACATATGACTGTCAACATCAATTAACACTACCTCAATCTCCAGCAAGTTGAGATTGACTTATGAATCCTTACAGTCAATGTCGCTCTATTTAAATAACACAAATGCAACATACATGAAGATCTGGTGCGGGAGAATCTGGAGCACTGGCAGAGAATGAACAAGATATATCCGTAAATACCACCATTTTACTATATGAGACAACAACAACAATAATATAAGTATGTTCCCACCAGGTGGGGTCTGGGAAGGTAGTCTGTACGCAGACCTTACCCCTACCTAGAGGCAAAATATATGAGACTATATGAGACTTAACAATAATAACGATCAGTCCTTGAATCGACAGAAGAAAATCCAAGAAGCTTATGTTTTTCAATCTCTAGACAATTAAACTTTTACAGCTGAAGGAAAAAAAAGTCATGAACACAACATATTTATAGTATTAGGATCCACAAAAGAATGAGAACAAGAAAACTAAGATAACAGAATGTATGGGTTTAAGTGTCTCTAGTCAGCCCCAATGTTCATCCTTCTTCCATAGACCCCCTCTAAACCCTGCATCTTCAATTGGAAATGACTCCAACTCAGGACACCAGCTAACCTTGAGTATTCTTAAGGAAGGCATTACTTGATGCATTGCTGACCATTCCAATCTCAAATCCGATAAAGATTCCAACAATAAGCCCTCAATTTTCCAAGCAGTACTACCATCACCCCAGAAGTTCTCATGCATTTGTGTAATATCACCAGAAATGATTGACAGGTACCGCAACATGGGCAGAGATGTAGGGTTAAGCCATTCAGGACTTGTCTTACCTGGATAAAATTTGAGAATCAGCTCGTGGAGTTGTCGTGGAGGATAAAGTCTACCAAGTTTGGTCGCAAGTCCATTATCTTGACTGCCAAAGCAACTTATTGTTAAAAATTGAAGTTCTTGGAGATCTACCAGTACATTCCCCTCATCATCTCCAATCTCCTCATTTTGAGTTAGTCTTAAACTGAGAGTTCTGAGTCGAGTGAGGCGTCTGAGCTCAGCTATACGACAACCTCCTGGTTGGCTTACTTTTGCAGGCTTAAATCCAAGCAATACTTGAAGATTGGAAAGCCTACTTAATCCTTTTGGAAGGTACTCAAGTGAACCACAGTTGTTCACATCTAAAACAGCAAGTTCCTCAAATGTCAGAACGCAAGAGGGGAGCATTTTCATATTTTGGCAATAGCTGAAATCCAAAATCTGTAATTTTTCAAGCTTGGATATGGAAGCTGGAACTCCAATCATTGGATGTGTATTGCTTAAACTGAGATAAGTAAGCTGTTTGGCAGATCCAATGCCTTCCAACAAACTTGAAAGAGGCAAATCGAAAATTGATTTTGACAGATCCAATACTTGGAGGTGTCGACTCTTGCACAACTTCTTGGCAATGTCGAAACGGATTTTGTTTACTTCACCACTCTTTGTGGTTGTTAGCAGTGCTCGTAACTTTCGATTGCTCAGTAGTTGCTTCCCATTCATCTCACTCTTAATACCCAAATGCCGACAAGTTGCATCAGATGGGGTGCAAAATGCATCATCCTCTGCTATTTTGATCACCAAGTCACGAACCATATCATGCATTTTGCATGTGTGGATCACACCATTGTAAGCCTTATCAACAACTTCTATCAAACACCGATTGGATAGTTGTGAGAAACAATCTTCTCCCACTTCAGTCGATGACCTACCACTTCTCAGAGGTATGAAGCTTTCTCCAATCCACCAACGGATCAGTTGGTCTTTTGGTATGACACAATCTTCAGGAAAGAGTGAAAAACAGAGGAAACAGGATTTCAAGTAAGGAGGGAGTTCATCATAGCTCAACTGTAGTGAGGCCGTCACTGAGTCATCATTTTCTTTCAATTCATCACGGAAATGATTTGCAATACGCCTCCATTCGTGATAGTAAGGTGGCTTGCAAAGCATCACTCCTCCTACTGCTTTGATTGCTAAAGGAAGACCCTTGCATTTTTCCACAATCTCCTTTCCCACGTCCTCCAACTCGGGGAAATTGCATTCACCTGCACTTGCTGCAAACGCAATCTTCCGGAATAGTAACCAACTGTAGTGCTCATTGAGGAATTTTGGCCAATGTATTCTTGCTTCTGTAACTCCCATCTTGCGAGCGACTAGCTCATTTCTCGTTGTTACAATAACACTGCTCCCATTTCCTTTGGGCAGTCCAGCATAAATTTTTTGCCACCAAGCATTGTCCAAGCTCCAAACATCATCCATAACAATCAAAAACCTCTTTCCCAAAAGGTACTGGTTTATTTTTCTTAACAGTTCACACTGGTCATCACCAACGCATGCATCTCCTAAACTCCTCAATATGCTTCTCATGACTTGTTCCTCAGTAAATGTTTGAGAAACAGACACCCAAATCCTCCTCTCAAAGTGATCCTCCACCCTTCTGTCATTGAAGACTTTCTGAGCAAGAGTGGTTTTGCCAAGTCCTCCCATACCCACAAATGCAATGGCAAGTAAACCATCTCTTGCTTCAAATAGCCAATCCTTTATCTTCTCAGTGTCACCTTCCAAACCAACTACCTGAGTGTGGTCATAAAGGGAAGAAGTCCATCTTGACATTAGATTATTGTGTGCCTCCATACTTCCTTCTTTTAGAAGTGGTACTCCAAGATATGTTGAAATGTTTTGCTTTATCTCCGAGATTCTGTCATTGATTTCAGCAAGGCGCTTCCCAGTTTGATGGCGAAGAGATAGCCTTTTGGGATGGAAGCATGTAGTAGCCCGATCACTATCTGCAGATTGATTCTGGCAGTCCTCAAGTATCTCTTCAGCTTCGAAAATTAAGTCTCGCAAACACGACATGACTCCTTTAAGGGTGTTGTTTTTCCTCTTGAGCCTCTCTGCATCTTTGAGAAAGCTTTGCATGAATAGCAGCTCGTTCTTCAGTTTTTCAAATTGCTGTCTGTATTTAGTAAGAAACCTACTCTCCTCTGTGAGAACATTCAGAAGTTTCTCCAAGAATACAGTGACCACCGCATCCACCATCTCTTCTGCTACAAATTTCTGAAATGCAGCTTAATGAAAATGGATCACCTAATAAACCAAAAGAACAAATCACTAAGGGAGCTCAAGGACATATTCATAAAAAAACATAAGTATTTTCTACGTAAGTCTACCTCCCACAAAAGAAGGAAATACTTAAGTTTGTATAGGAGTATGTTTGGTTCCGCTTGTAAGAATATAATCCCGGGATAGAACTAGTTATACAGTGTCTGGTCCAATTTCTATTTCTCGCATTACAAATACCCAGATCTAATATTATTTTATGTGCCATAGAATATGAAACAAAAATACATGTTTTAGCAACACCTGGGAAAAAGAACCTAAAATGGTACAAATTACACTTAAAGCAGGCAGGTTTTTAAGAAAAGAACAATATAGTAAGAATTCTTAATAATTTAAAACTTATAATGTCACGACCCATTTTCTGAACAAGCCGGGACCGGCACTCATCACTGAACATGACCGAGCGGACCATCTCTGCTTATCGAATCTATTATAACTTCAAACTTTATATGCCACAAGGCACAACTGTAACCAAATACTTTTAAATAATTTAAATATCTAAAATAAGCCAACTTCAAAACTTTATTCGTAGTAACCAATAAAATGCTGCTAAGTTATTATCAAAAACATCTTAATCTTAACCCAACGACTATATCTATGAAGCCTCTACTGATAAACTGACGCATTGCTCAAGACATGAGATTTTCTGGCCAGTTCTCTAAGTAAACAAAGAAATAACTAAATAAAGATAACTCTAAGGAATACTCCACGAACAAAAGCGGAGCTCACCAATAGCAGTAGAAGAGAAGGAAGTCCTAACTCGTAGCCTGCTCGCCTGCAAAATCGGTTCCTACGTTGTACCGCAGACCAACGTAAGTTCCCAAAAGAGAACGTCAGTACCATCCATTGTACTCAATGAGCCTCAACGACAGGGGACGAAACTTTAATAACATATATATTACGAGCAAAGATTCTAAATGCATGTAAAACATAAGTTTATAAGAACAATTCTAAAATAATTGCATAATAGCAGTTTATGAATATTCTAAAAGAAATTCTTTTCTTTTTCTTTCTTATAAAAAAAATTCTTCACTTTATACTTTGGGAGTTCCAACTATCCTGACTTAATTCTGTCTCAGTCACCATGTGATCGGCACGGGTTCGATCCCAACCTAATCGAATAGGCCCAATCCACGAGGTGTCACTCGTTTCATGGTTCTCAGCGCTCATGTATCATACCTTAGACTGACTAAGTAAATTCTCAGCAATGAGACCCTCGGCTCGTGTGCTCCCTACTTTGGCACAAGTAGTTTCAGGATGTCAACGTCTTGGTCAGGACCCTCGGCTTGGACGATGACTCCTTCTCAGGATAAAGGATACTCCCAAAAATCTTTTCTTTCTAAAACCTCTTCTTGTGACCTTTCAAGTCTATATCTTTCCTTTATAGAACATCATGTACATAATCATGCTGGTATCCTTAAATGTAAAAGTATTTCTAAAGATTCTTGCTTCTTCATAAATTTTCAACATGAAAATAGCATATAAGAATAACACAAAAATCGGAAAATTTACACA